CTCCCCAGATTCGAACCTGCAACCTTTCGGTCAACAAGTTTAGCAGCTCAGTGGTTTAACCCACTGCGCCACTGGGGGCTCCTAAATTATTGTGAAACTAGTGGCAAATTAATGGAGTTGTACGTTTCTTCTTATTACTTCTCAGTTCTCATTTTGCTTTCCTATTTTAGATTTTACAGGAGAAGCTGCGAAGTAGTAATTTGGATCCAAGAGAGGTTGCCATTGCTGTGGAAGGCCAGGTGAGAGTGACCCATTTCTTGACACCACCCTCCTCATCCATTTCTGTTACTTCTGAGTGTTCTCACCACCTTCTGTCTCTGTTCCTTTCCAGCGGCGAGATTTCCCTCAAGGAATTCCCGAATGTGGCACAGATGCTTTGAGGTTTGCCCTCTGCACATACTGTGCACAAGGTGAGAAGTTGGGTCTTTCTCCTTCCAGTTTCCTTTCTGTTGGGCAGGAGAAGAAGGAAGTGGCTGGCAAGAGTGAAATAAATATGATAGGTTGTAGTAGATCCCCATTGTTAATGAAACTCACTATTGACTTGGTGTGAAGTTGATTTGAAATATCTATCAGTAGTTCTTTGAGAGCCAGTGTGGTTTGAACATTAGTCTAGGACTCTGAAAGACTAGGGTTCAAGTCCCTGCTCAGCCATGAAGACTTTCTCCCAGCATTACATTTTGGCAGGTCACACTCTCTCAGCTTCAGAGGATGGCAAAGGTAAATCCCCTCTGAAAAAATATTGTCAGTAAGTCAACGTGAAAATCATAGTGTCACTATAACTCAGAAATGAATTGAAGGCACACAACAACCACAAAAGTTCATTGATTATATGTGATATTAAGTATGTAATTGATTGTACTATGTAACAAAATTTGAAAAAAAATCTGTTCCTGGTTTGTAAAGGTTATTTCCTGTTTAATTGTGTGGTACTTACTTTGAAAGTAGTTGTTATACTCCAGAAACTTTGTTTTTGTGGCTTCCACAAACTATGTTGAATTGGTTGAGACTCTCTGAGATATTCATTGACGAACTATAGCAAAATGTGCTGCAGGGTGTCCCGCAAAAACAAAGCTTTTGTAATTTAATACACTTTTCCCATGTTTTCTATGATAGAACCAATTAGGAGCAAAAGTTGTGTTACATATGTTATCACATAGTTACCTCATTGTTTCTTGAAGAGGTTTAATTTGGTTTATGTGGGGTGGTCCTAAGGTACACCGTCAGCAAACCTATGTGGTAGATTAGGCTGGGGAAGAAAATGACTATATTTTTCAAGTGAGTTTGAAGTGTGGTTTATGTATTTGCATCCATTTTTAGAAATTATGTACAGAATTCTAGAATAAAATATTTTTTACAGTTGATTTTGGTGCTTTGAAAGGTTTGATGGAAATGTGTTTTTAGGTGAAGCCAACATGATAGGAGCCCCCGGTGGCACAGTGGGTTAAACTGCTGAGCCACCAAACTTGCTGACCGAAAGATTGGTGATTTGAATCTGGGGAATGGGATGAGCTTCTGCCAACCTAGCAGTTCGAAAACATGCAAATGTGAGTAGATCAATAGGTACTGCTCAGGCAGGAAGGTAACAGACAATGCCGGCTCTTCAGCTTAGAAATAGAGATGAGCTCCACTCTCAGAGTAAGATACGGCTAGACTTAATCTCAAGGGGAAACCTTTACCTTTATTAACATACTACAATTATAACACAAAATAAGAAACATTAGCACTAATAAGAAACAAAGAGAGTGCCAGTTACATACTTCATTAGAATACGTAAGTACTGTAAATAAATATCCCAATCCTCCATATCAGGCAATGGCATTAACCTGGATGTAGCCACAGTGGAGAATGCTAATCGCTTTTGCAACAAGGTGTGGAATGCCATGAAGTTCACTTTGGCAGCCTTGGGAGAAGGATTTAACCCACTGGATCCAGAGGAGGTAATTGGGAATGTTTATAGTGATTATGGTTACTTGAAGCTGACACAGAAGATGGGAGGGAGGGATTGTCAGCGTACAGTTTGAAGAAGTCTCCTTCTCTGGAAGGTTTTAAGCAGGGGCTGGATGACCATCTTTTGGGGGTGTTTTGATTGCATGTTCTTGAATGGCGGGATGAGGTTGGACTGGATGTCCCTTGTGGTCTATTCTAACTCTATGATTATATGGGGCATGAGACAGCAATCTTGGTAGGACTTGGGAAATGGTCAGTGGCTAGGTCAGGCATGGGCAAACTTCAGCCCTCCCAGTATTTTGAACTTCAACTCCTGCAGTTCCCAACAGCCAGTAGGAATTGTAGGAGTTGAAGTCCAAAACACCTGGAGAGCTGAAGTTTGCTCATGTCTGGCCTAGATGGAAAGACTACCTGTTGTTGAGATGCTTTGAGTTTCATGACAAAAGCTGGGATAAACATTCTACACAATTGATGCTTTATTGCCACTGTTTTATGTCAATCATCCAGGTCTTCCCTAGCTCCCCAATGGATAAGTGGATTCTCAGCCGTTGCTATCACACAGCAGTAGACTGTGCTCGCTGGTTTGAGGAATATGAGCTGCATTCTGTTGCCTCTTCAGTTCATCTTTTCTGGCTGTGTGATTTTTGTGATGTCTACTTGGTAAGGTTCCCAGGGGTTCAGATTCCAGATGCCTGTAGCAAAATGCAGGGCAGGACTGCGACCTTTATAGACGCTAAGCACTTTAAATTATTTTGGCATCCCGGTATATCTTAGTTCAAAATATAAACATTAATATACCATAAAATATTTTTTTTTATTTCAAAAGGATGGAAAATAATCTTATTTTGGCATCTTGATATATATCTTAATTCAAAATATAATCAGTAATATACCATAAAATACATATTTTTTATTTCAAAAGGATGGAAAATAATCTTATTTTGGCATCTTGATATATATCTTAATTCAAAATATAATCAGTAATATACCATAATATATATATATTTTATTTCAAAAGGATGGAAAATAATCTTATTTTGGCATCTTGATATATATCTTAATTCAAAATATAATCAGTAATATACATTTTTTTTTAATTTCAAAAGGATGGAAAATAATCTTGGGTGTTTTTTAATACTTCCACTTCATGTAATTTTGAAAAGTTTTCTTCTACTTTTTTCTGATTGCAAAGTCTTTTAATGTGGGAACCTTTTTGTGGAACTTGGTTCAGCTACACCACTTTCAGTTTTCCTGGTAAATCTAGCATTGGGACATTTCTGTTCAGTCCCTTTCTCTCAATGTTCTAAACATATGCTTATTTTGCTTAATTGCTAATCCAGCTGCCTACAAGCTTCATTTGGTCCTTTAGATATTTCAGCCTACAGTTTCCATCAGACACAACCAGCATGGCCAATAGTAAGGGATTGTGGGACTTATTGTCCAGAACATCTGGTTGAACACCCTTGATTTAATATGTGAAAGCAGAGACATCAAGAAAAGGAGTGAGGAAAGGGCTATAGTTCAGGGAGTATGGGGATTTCGGATTTTCACTGAAGGCAAAACTGAGTAAGCATATCTACAGACTCAAGGGCTTTGGTCTCCCTCTTTATCTTTTCATTTCATGCTACGTTTGCTGTCACTTCCTCTGCAGGAATCTGTAAAACCCATATTGAGGAGCGGGGATCCATCTCGGCTCCTAGCCACCCGCCAGACTTTGTACAGCTCTGTGGACTTGGCTCTGCGCCTCCTGTCTCCCTTTATGCCTTTCCTCACAGAGGAGCTATGGCAGCGACTTCCCAAGAAGAGCTCCGGGTCTCCTCCCAGCATCTGTGTGGCCAGATACCCCAGCAAAGAACACCTGGTGGGTCAAGTAAAAGAGAAATGAGTTAAACTGTGGAGGAAATTGATATGTCAATGTGCTTATAAAGGTAAATGTTTCCCCTGACACTAAGTCTAGTTGTGTCTGACTCTGGGGTGTGTGCTCATCTTCATTTCTAGGCCAAAGAGCCGGTGTTGTCCGTAGACGCCTCCAAGGTCATGTGGCCGGCATGACTGCGTGGAGCACTGTTACCTTCCCACTGAAGCGGTCCCTATTGATCTACTCAGATGTTCATGTTTTCGAACTGTAGTCTACGGCAGAGCTGGGCCTAACAGCAGGAGCTCAACCCACTCCCTGGATTTGAACCACCAACCTTTTGGTCATCAAGTTCAGCAGCTCAGCAGTTCAACTCAGGCCTATTATAGCCTGTTAATACAGGCTATAATATGTTTATAGCCTATATTAACAAGTTGAGGCCCATTTTGTGGCTTGCCGTGTAAACATATCTTTACCGAATGTGTTTCTTCATTACTCATCCTATTCTGAATTTCTCTTACTATACAAACTATAGTTAAAAATCAATTTAGTTTATTATTTTTTCTAGCAATATAAATATTATTGTACAATTTATAAAAACAGCAATTTTCCTTTCTCTGACTTATATCATGATATACATCCATTTAAACTAGTTTCCCCACTCTCTCTATTGCAAAATAATAATCAAAATAATAATAAAAAGTTAAAATAGATGCAAAGTGGAAAAATCTGATATAATCCCATCAATCTATCTTTTTAGACAATTTCATTCGACCTTATTATCTTATTATTATGTTTCCGTCTTCAAAATTTGCCAGTGTTTTAACATTCCCCTTTTTCTTTATGAATAATGTAAAGGGTTCCCATTCTTTAAAAAAGGTATCAATGGACGTTGAATTTCTCTTACTATATAAACTAAAATAGATTTGAAAATTTGACTCCAATCTAGTAAAAAATATATTTTCATGTGTGTTTCCTTTCTCCCTGTTATTTCCAGACTCATTGGTGTCATCCAGAGGAAGAGACAAACTTTCTGTTGGTACAGGAAGTCATCAAAGTAGTGCGAAATATAAGGGCGACATATCAGCTCACTAAAGCTCGGCCCGCAGGTGAGGTTGCTCATATGTGTGAAATGAGAAACTGTTTCTTTTTCCCTAGGACTGGGGAATTTGCAAACGTACTAAATTCATTAACTGTGGGAAGTTTTGTGACAAACCCTTATAAAAAGTTGTTTATTTATTTATTTATTTTATTTACTGTATTTGTATACTGCCCCTCTCAGCCCTCAGGCGACTTGAGGCGGTTTACAAGGCAAAATTCAATGCCACAAAGCACAAGTACAATTTAAAAACATTAGCATACATAAAATCATAATAACAACAATAAAATATAAGTCATTAAGAAATCCGTATTAAAACATTGTCCAGTCCCATCATATGGTTGTTCCATTATCCTAAATCTGCTACTCTGTATTTGCAAAAGCTTGCTTGAAAAATAGTGTCTTGAGCTTTTTCTGAAATGATAACAGGGAAGAAGCTGATCTAATATCCTTAGGGAGAGCGTTCCATAGCCAAGGGGCCACCACTGAGAAGGCCCTGTCTCTTGTCCCCGCCAGACGTACTTGTGACAAAGGTGGGACTGAGAACAGGGCCTCCCCAGACGATCTTAAAGTCCTTGATGGTTCATAAGGGGAGATGCGTTTGGACAGGTAAGTTGGGCTAGAACTCACAACAGCAGTGAATTAAGTTCAGCAGCACAGATTGTGTCTGATTCTGGTACCACCAGTGTCTTTTTCAGTATTTTCTATTGGTTTAGTGAACATGTGAGGAACGAGTGGAACTGTGTCCATTAACCCCGACTCCACCTTTAGCATGTTCCTTCACCTCCATTTGTTTAGCAGAAGGTCTTAGTGGAGTATGAATGGTGGAATACCAATAGACCACTCAGCTGTTTTTCCTCAGCCCTAGTTCAAATTGTGTTTTGGAAATGATATATGTGCTCCCCATTCTTACCTTCCACCAATGGCACAGAGCTAAGAGAATCTCATCAGAATCTCACCTACAATCAAAGAGAATAACTCAAGACAGAATCAGTGTCTTGATGTTTGATGTTTTGTCTTATGTCTGTTATAACAGGCTGTGCTTTTAATTTAATTTTAGTTTGTTTAGTTATAATTTGTATTTATATGTTGGGTTGTATAAATAAAGTGGAATATAAATAAAGTTATTATTATTATTATTATTATTACATGCAAATACTCATTGTGCGCTTTAGAGAACATATCTAAATTCTTCCCCATGTTGGCTAATAACTCTTGATTGCTGGAGTCCAGGCTGCTCTTTAACTCCCTCTGCTTGTCCTTAGTGTACCTCATGTGCCAAGAGGCAGTTCCATTTGGTGCCTATAAGAACTACCAAGAAGCATTGCAAACTTTGTCCTTGGCTGGATCTCTGAGGCTTCTTCCAGACATTGAAGGAGCAGAGCCACCTGCAAGCTGTGTGGTTGCGAGGGCAAACAATCACACTGACATCTATGTAGATCTCCAGGTAAGACTACAGTTGAGTAGGAGGTGTGGGTTTCAGGCAGTGGGTTAATGAGGAAAATCAGGAATTATTGTGACCAGGTGAAATTCATGACAGGAAGATGAAGAGATGATCAATTTGGATTGCTTCATTTACTTATTTTTCCTCTGAGACAGCACACAATAGAAATTAAAACAGAATATAGCTGAAAGCTACTCAGTGATGATATTAAAAAACAGTATGAAACAATTAAGCAAGCTGTCAAAAATTAAATTAAGGTTAAAATTAATACACATTAAAACCGTTAAAAAC